ATCCACAAAACCAGACAGCCCACATCTCACACAGTCACAGCCTTCACCCCTCAACACACTATTATACTGTGATTGAAAATCCATTCCAAACATTAGCAGTAGCTAGCAGTTAGCAGTGAGAAAGGTGTCTTACATACTTGTAGGGCTGGGCGATATGGAAAAAAAATCTTAATATCAGATGGAAAAAAAGATTTTAACTGTCTTTGTGGGAACATGCTTTCGACACGCTACTCTGCTTCTTCTTACTTTCAATAGCCAAAGTATCTCCACACTACCGAATTCCTCTGACCCTTCTTTAAAGGATGTCCTCCTCTTTGGAGCCTTGGGGTGTGTCCGTTAGGGTGTCCTCTTCGGTAAAACTGTCGCTAGAGTTTTCTTTAACATTTTCTGACGTCATTTTCTCTTTTATCTCTCTCCCACTCCTGACGTACCGTCATGTCAAAAAACATGGATGAGTGAGTTCTTTCGACGTTGTATCGACCATGTCTTATGTTTCTATAGAGGAAAAGTTATTTCGTGATAATTATCTTCATCGTTTTATCGCCCAGCCCTACAAACATATGCTTCACATGTATCAGCTTCTAGTTAAAAAAAAAATACAGCATTACTAACTGGGCTGAACAATTAAACTCTCAAGTTAGAAGGTTTCTATTTTCAAATCACAAGATCTGCCATTTTTATTATAACTCACAGAACAGTGGCTTAACAAGCTGCAGCAAGTTACAGTTTAAGCTGGCAGCTGTTGATGAGAACTGAGAAATCTACTCAGTTATAGTTGATCAACATTAATTATTTGCATAAGCAAAACATCAAAAAATGAAAGTAGAGACCATCAGCGAAGCAACATGTTGACATTCTGACCCATTAGTCAATAATCATCACGACACGATTACATGACCACTCAGCACTCGTGGATTTGACCACACCCGTCTTCGAACTCAAACACACACACATTCACACACATACATACACACAGATTCACAAGGTGAAAACAACACCAGCTCCCCAGTGTCAGGTGGAAATAAGGACTGTTGTCTGGTTAATATGATCCCCCTCTGCATGCCAGTGTCTGGTGTCTGTAAACTTACACTCAGCCAAACATTTTCAAAGAAGAAGAAACAACAGTCTGTCATTTTTGATGTTTGAAAAGATATAAAGAATGGCCTGTGTATTTACTGTTCATGAAAGAATCTGGACCTCTAGGATTTAGTGCTTTGAAGCAGCGTGGGAACATTTTGCGTGTCCTCAGTCTGATGTGAAAAACACTCCGTCTGGGCTGTGTTTGCTTAGCTTTCTATGGAAAAATTGACCAGTTTACTTTTCTGATTGCTTTAGATTAAAAAAATATTTGGATGTCCTCAATAACAATTGCATATCTTCTACATATTGTTCAGCTGTAATTATAAGACGCATTATGTAGGAACATGTGTGCATGAAGGATGATCCAGCCTTCTAGGTTCTGCCTGAACCACAGTTTCCACATGTGGGAGTGAGATGTATTAGAGTGAGTTAGTGCAGATTTATCAAACCTGACAGAGGTGTTTATATGTGTGTGTGTGTGTGTGTGTGTGCGCATGCCAGTCATGTCATACAAGCCTGATATAATTTCTTGACTTGGGTCACTGCCGAGTTTTTTGTTGATAGATGTGGACCCACAGTGTGTGCGCTGTCCAGGCGAAACCTTCCTCCTCTTTACAGCTCTGTGTCTGATGTCTGATGTTTTGGAGATACATAAACATCCTAACTACAGTTAGGTGATTTGCTGACTTATTGATTGGATCGTGTGGCTTTGATGTGTTTGGTGTTAGTCCCTGGTTCTAAAGTGAAGCTTGGGGTATAAAAATCCAACAAATTCTCTATAAAATATCTTTAATTCAGTGTGTGTGTGTGTGTGTGTGTGTGTGTGAGTGTGAGTGTGAGTGTGTGTGAGCTGGCAGCTGTATTCTGTGGTAGTCTACTCGTACACAAACCATCCTTTCAGTGCTCTGGAATTTTAGACTTCTCAGTGTGTTATTGATTACCTCCAACCCGAGTGGGCAACCCTACTGGGCCTCACTGACTCCTCAGCTATACTTTGTGTGTGTGTGTGTGTGTGTGTGTACATGTGTACATGGGCCATGTGTGGTGAAGCGGAGCACGATACAGACACATACCATATAGATGTAATAGGCGTGTGTGTGTGTGTAACAATAAATTGAGACAAAAAAACAAATTGCTCAAGCCCAGTTCATGGCTGATTTGAGAATGATACCATGGAAACAGATATAGCAAATAGTCCAATAAGAAATCTAGCCCCCCTCCAAAAAAAAAAAATCAATGTTAGTGGTTTTTACTGCACAGTATTACATCCCTTATTTTTGTGTTTCTTATGTAGAATCACATCTTTTTTTCCCTGAGCAACAGAAGCTTTATTATAAGGAAATGTAATTTTTTTTTTTTTTCTTATAGCCTTCACTTGAATTTCCCTCACGTTGCTAGGGCAATAATGGTGGACAGCAACCTTGACTTATCTCAGTTTTCTTTCTTTTTCATCACAGATACTTCAGATGAAAGGTTCACCATTGTATCCACTCAGTGCTGTAACACATAGTAGCCATTTTTTTTCTTTCAAGTGTCTTCTTTTTTTTTTTTTTTTAATACACACGTATTAATCACATACCTGACTTTGTAGCCTCAGACTCTGTCACCTATATTACAGTGAATGAGATTTCAAGGCTGATTTTAAGTTGCAATTGAATCTCCATTTTGCCTTAACTGGCTTCCCATCTGTTACGAAAGGGCACAGATGATAGCACACCTACAGCAGCAAATCAAATTTGTAGATTTACTATACAAATAGTGGGGTATGTTTTGTAATGTCAAAACAAACAAGAGAGCACAAGAGATCTCTATTACCCAATCCCTCCCCACTGGGTCTGAAATGACTGTGTCAATAGCACAAGCCAGGAGATAAAGGTTCAGTGTTGCTGCTCAAGATTACACAGAGCGAAAGGGAGGGGGAGAGGAGCTGACACACACAGACAGAAAGAGTATTTATGTGTGTCTGCGTGTGATAGCAACGTAACAAGTGCAGAAGAAGGAGACAGATAGATGTAGGGAGGAGAGGGACAGATAGCAGCATTAGCCATCCCCATTTCCCACAACATCTCATCTCATCCAACATCCCCTGATGCTGTCTGATGCCGGCTGAGTGTTGGGGTTATGGCACATATTTTGCCTTTTCATCCTCCAGACTTACCACTCGGCATATTAGTTTCATTTAGTCATTCAGATGGTTTTTTTTCCCCCTAAAGAACACAAGCATCTAAATGTATCTCATCAGATATCATTCTCCTTGCACAGATTCTTTTTTTTTTAATGGTGATTGAAGACAGAGATTTGGATGTAACAGGAGCCACAATCCTCAACGCAGGGCTGATGTGTTTGCTATGCACATGACCTTTAAGTGGTCATAAAAAAAAGAGACAAAGCAGCTTGTAGGCAGTAGGCAAAATGTTGTTCCTATCCTCCATAGTCTCCGATCAGCTCAATCTCACAACTATAAAGGTTACATGAAAATCAGCCGGCTGTAGTGTATGAAAAATTAAACTGCAGACTTGTGTTAATCGATACTAATGTAATTATACCTTACAGAGGACTGAAGCACAGGCCTGGTTCAAAGTGCCACCACACAAATGACTCACACTGTGCCATGTAATCAACACAAGCACAAGAAAAGAAGCCATATATCTTCTGACACCTGACAGCCTTGGTAAATGACAGGAAATGTGCCACAAGCTTGTCTCCTTCTAACAAATGTCTGCTGAATCACGCACAATCCACACACTTGGATTTAGAGCCAAAGAACAGCAGGGAGCAAATGCATTATTTTAAATAGCTTATAATGAGCAGGTTTGGTGTCAAACATTTGGTGGTGAAAAGAAGAAATTGTTCACTTATAAGGAGATTCATATTCCCCTGCTGCTACCTTTCTCATAACTGCTCATTTATTTGGATGAAACAGCAGCAGCAGTTATTAAAAAGTACCAAAAAATATGACATCTTTGAAATCTTTAACTTCTCTCTCGTTTGAAAACATTTTGCAAAGGGCTTTGGGGAAGTTTTCACGTAAGCACCTTTTTACATTTTTTGCCAGTGATGTCGCATGATAACTAAATCCATCCTGAATCGCATTAGGCGATGAGAAAGATAAATCATGCTGTGTTTCCAAAGGCGCCAAGCTTCCACAGTGGCCCCCGAAATCCGATTCCGTATGTTCCCGAGGAGCCTTTTCCCTCATGGGCTGTCAATAACCCGCCACTGACCTTGTGAAAACACATCGACTATTCCCCAAAGTGAGCTCGCCTGGCTGCAACACAATGCACGTCCGCTCCTGTCTCAATTCATCCGAGCGGGTAGACAGCCTAAAGAGCTCTGGAGTGTTAACAGCAGCTATAGGGTGTGTGTGTGTGTGTGTGTGTGTGTGTGTGTGTGTGTGTGTGTGTGTGTGTGTGTGTGTGTGTGTGTGTGTGTGTGTGTGTGTGTGTCGCTATTTAACACTCCAAGCAACACAAATGCGATTTCCATAAAATCACATTCAATTAAAAACACAACCCAGGTTTACATGAGGGGGGGGGGGATGTTTGGGGAAGATTCAGCCAAGATGCGCAAACATCCATCGGCCTCATCGCACTCACACTCATCTCCTGCCGTGATTCCAGCTTTATTGTATCCACCAAGTATTCTAACTAACACGTCCCAGCGTTGTGTGACGCCGACAGAAGTCACCACGGGGACTGTGTGGTCTGCGGGTGGGTTTAAGACATTATGACAGGAACAGAAGTCCCAGAGCCCGGGGAGTCGGGGGGAAAAAGCTCATCTGCAGCTACTGTCTCTACAGTGCAGAGGTTCGCCCGAGAGCCACATCACCAAACTCAGCGTGGTAACACTGCACCAACATATGCACCACCCCTCGTCAACCCATAACCCATACGCACAGCTGTACGTTGGTGTGAACATACCTGGTTTTTATGCCGAGTCCCATCTTCGAGTTCAGAAGAGCTGTTCATGGTTCCCCATCGGTCATTTACCATCCTACGGAGAATCTGCGCATCAGATCCGCCTGTTTGTTCCAGGCGACAGAGAATAAACCCGCGCTTTTTAAGTCTTTATCAGTGATTTAGCCTACTCCATGGAAAAATGGGGTATTCAACGTAAAAAAAGGAAGGAAGGCACAACTACTTCTGCGACTCAGCCACCGCACACACCGCACAAATTACGCACCAAAATGGAACTTAAATTCCTCCCGAGAGTCTCCTGACTATCTGGCCGTTATTCCACTTAAAAGAATTTAAAAAAGGAGTGTTAACAGGCTCCAGGCTTTGTAACTGGACTCTCAAACGCATCACAGTTACACTGGACTGGAAAAATTAAGCCCAAAACGACCCCGAAAGCACCGGGCGCAGTCCTTTACTCCACAAGAAGAAATCGAGAAAATCTTCTTTGGCTCAGATTGCAAAGTGCAACCCGACCTTTTTGTTCAGCCAGGAGAGTTTGAGACGCCAGGTCAGCCCACACTGTGACCACTTATGACTGCACAGGTAAAGACAGGATGGGATAGGGTCGCAGAGCTGCCGCGTCCTTTTTTTTCTCTCGTTTATTCGGTGAGAAGACTCCGACACCGAGCCCACGGGATGGATAGAGCCTCCCTCATTTGCGTCAGACTGATCTGGCTGGTATTTCACAGAGATGCCTTCGAGAAGACTGGTACGAGGAGATTAGCGAGCTCCGCTTGTGTGCAGCGCGGGGCGCTCCGTGCCTCCGACTGTCAATCAACGCGTCCCTTCAGTACGCGCGGCGCGCTCCAAGCGAGCGTTCCTTCCCTATGCCCGCCTGCCCTCGACTGCTGTGCCACTGCCACCCCGCCTGCTACTTCACTTGCACCGCACCGTGGACCCTCCTATTCCACTGCTACCCGAACAGCAGCAGATACCGGCACGTGTGTCTAATGTGTGGACTACAGACTGTGTAATGACTTAATGTAACATAAACCCGGGATCGGATTCCTGTTAAAATCTTTTTGCGGAACGAAAACGTTTTCTTGTTAAATCTCCTGAAGGCTGCCGCACATTTTAGACTATAGATTGCCATGTTACATACCCGGGTACCTGACCGGGTTTAGTAATCCTCTCCAAGTGTTAATTACTGGCTGTGACATCACCCAGCACTTTTAATATGAGTGACAGCCTTTAGAAGTAGGGCTGCTTGTTTGGGGAGTTTAAAGCGGAGGAACCTCACTATAGTAAGAAAAAAAAAGATGAAACAGAATATTAAACTGAAGCAACTGCCTCATTTATTTCACAGAAATCAGATTAAAAACCACCAGAGTCCTGCCCTTGATTTGCACAAGTTTACCTGAGGTGATCTGTGAGTTCATTGGGCAGAGCGTGGGTAAGCAAGGCTGAGGCACATCATGTGACTTCACTATACAAAAAGCTATAGACTGAAAATAATGAGGAATAGTAACTGGTAATAGAGGAAATCCAGCAGACTGTGATGTAGTCTTGTTAGTGATTGATGTCTCAGAAGCAGGATTTTGTTTGGCTCTTCTTTATCGAACAGGAACATGCTCCCACTGTATTAAAGCATTATTGTAAAAGATTATCACAGAGAACTTGAATAAGTCAGCCGGGTTAACAGAAGAAGCCCCTATGTTTGAACTCCAGGTATAAATTTAGCAACAGCTTCCTACAGAAATCAATTCCCACCTCAACAGTTCTCGGTGTGCACAGTTCTAAGTGATAGGCAGCACAGCAGCACACAAAAACCACCCCCCTCCCTTCCCCTCTCCCTCTTGTACACAGAGTCATTAATGTCAATAATGTGGCCCACAAGAGTGGTCATGTTTTTCCTCAGTTAAGGTAGTTTGATAGATAGATGATTAGAGGTCTAATCATTGGTGCAGGGACTGAAGCACAATTACTCATCCCTGTGATGAACCTGCACTCACACTGGGGAAGAGTGAGGGTGGAGTAAGGGGGGTGGAGGGGGCGGGGTAATGCAAAATAGGGTCACTGCTACAGAAATGTGTGCTGTCAGCAGGTCTGACATCCACCAGTGGATTGAAGGTATGTTGTTAAGGTGGAGTAGTTTGTCAGGGGTGACAGCCCATCTAAAGACAAAAATAGCAAATTAAACATTATGACATGTAGCCTTAAACTTGCATATTGAGCAGCTCTGTGTCTCTTTTTATTTCAAATTACATTTCATCAAGTAAATGGTCTTAGTTACACAATTAAAATCAGCAGACAGGATCCTGTTGTTAGTATTTCTTGATAACATTATATATTCATGACTAAATAAGCCGCAACTATTTTTTAAACCATCCCTACTACATTTTTGTTAACACATTATTATTTGTTTTGTCAGGAAAGTGGTATGATTTATAATATTTAGATTAAAATGTTGATAAATCCTGATGTATGTGACATAACCTTTTCCCAGCTAAGTCCCGCCCTCAAACAAAAATATAAATATGGAAATCTGTAACGTGAAACGATTTCAACTTTTGTAACTTTGGCAGGAAATCTTGTTTTCATGTAGGACCCCATCGCTCATAATAAGAAAATGATTGACCAAATAAGTTTTCAGGGCAGACGTGCTTTAATGATTTCCCACTGATCTGGGGTGACAGGGGTTTCCCATTAGCAAATGAGCCTGAAAACCCACAATACCAACACAGCGTCGTGAACGTTCTTTAAGTTTCCACATGCAGCTTCCAGAGGACGTCACAGCATCAATTTTTTTTTGAGAATAATAATTGAAAGATCAGTGGCATGAATTCCATCAGTCTAAGGCACCTTGGGTCGATTAAAGGAATCAATTCCCTGAACTGAGAGCAAAAGAAGTCAATTGAAGAATAACAATAAGGGTTGGATTGAAAAGAAATCCCTCTAGTTTTTGATTTAATACAGCCCATATAGGGTTTATAATGATAGTTAAACCTCTTTTTTATTCATCTGTTTCCCTTTCATTTGCTCAGTTTCTTATGTTACATATATTCATAATGCGTGTGTGTTATGTCTGTGTATGGTCCCATGCGTGCGTGCAGTGTGTGCATGCAGATAATATAGGGTATAGAGTATGTGGATGCATGTATGCATGCAAAGCTATAAATGCAACATGTACAGTACATATTCATACTTTCTTTTTTTCATTTTAATAGTCACATTGATGCACATCTCTTTTTCCTTTCATTTTTTTGTTCTTATGTTGCTTTCCTGACCTGTGTAAACATCCTGATCTCATTCAGGAAAACGTTCTCATGACATGATAAATTGTTGTGACTTGGCATGTTTGTTAAATAACCAATTTCAGTGATTTTTGACATAAATTATATTTGCTTTGAAACGCACAAGGGGGAACATAACTCCCTTGCAGAAATTCATAAGCACTCCTTAATGAATGGGCCATATATCATATGTAAAAACAGACGTATCGACTTGTCCTTACCGGAACAAAAGGCAGTTAGCACAAAAATGTCTTTTTACAGTTCGCCCTGAGGTCCTGGTTCCTATTTAATGGAAAAAGCAAAATGTGCAAACATGGCACATTTTTGCTGACAAACTGCAGGGGTATTCAATTTGGCCTATATCCTCGCGGCTTTTTGACAAAATATTGTAATAATACAATGAATGAGCCATGACTTTAATATCAAGGGAGAAGGTGTGAGGGAGGACTGCCAAATATACAGTGGAGCGAAGCATTATAGGTAGAAAGAACCTCGATTGCACCAGCTGCTGGTCATGTATTTGTCTGATAATGTTTTGTATTTGCAGGTGCGTGCGTGCGTGCGTGCCTGCGTGCGTGCGTGCGTGCGTGCGTGCGTGCGTGCATGCGTGCATGCGTGCATGCGTGCATGTGGCCAGAAGTGTGCGTGCGCTCACTTCTGGCCCCACGTTTGAATGTCACTGAAACCTGATCAGCCAGAGACATTCAGAGAAAGAGAAGAGGTCTCTCAGGAAGAGCTGGTTATCTCTACAATTAGCCCAAACAATACAGCCCTTTATTGGCTTTGCCGTTTTATGTGTCCTGATATCCAAACAAGCGTTTGTGTTTGTGTAATGTTTCGGTCAAACTCTGCACTTGGTTCAGCGCTGCTGTCTGAGATTTTTTTTTTTTCCCCCTTGGCTGTGTTTTTTTGAATTTTCATGCATGGAGTGGCAGCAGGACAAATGCACAGAACTGTGAAGAACCACCAGAGTGAACTGCCCTTCCCAAAATACCAAGCCTATAATTTGCAAAATGACAGACTAACACAAAAAAAAAGAAAAAAAAGAAAAAAGGGAAAAGAAAAAAATGTGGCTGAAAGAAGGAAGGCAGGTAAAGATTATGAGCTACATTATGCGTGAATGTAGAGCAGTACAGAATGGCGTTGAGCTGGACATGGGATAACACCCTTTCAAACAAGTATAGGAAAGGAACAGCTGTTCAGCCTGGTAAGAAGCTTATATGCACATGTAGATACACACACTGCACTTATACACATACACAAACAGAAGTGCCCGTCCAAATACACAACAAATAACGGTAAACGTAATCAAAGTGTCAGTAGCTATACTCTCATCAAAAGAATTCAGTGAAAAATCAATAGGGAACACAAACAGAGGCTGAGCAGGCTGAGGGGAGAAGTCTCTGCTGTTATTAATGTATAATGATGGTCCTTCTCAAGATTCTCCAGAGGAGGGGCGAAGCACTCGCACCTCTGAAGTGCAAAGTCAAAGGCAGTGTTGCATCTCTCCCTGGCTGCTCTGCTAATTCCCTAACTTAGCCCGAGGTTAGCCATAGGTGTGGGACATGATTGAGGTTACTGATACATCAGATTCTTTGCCGAGCTCTTCGCTCTGCCCTCTCCCTTTTTCAGTTAGAATATCAACCCTGTGGGGGCAAAGCTATTTCATCAAACACTCTGCACGTACACACACTTGCAAACACACATTCTTGAGCTCTGAGGGTCCAGTGAGTACACGGAGTCTGGCTGCAGATAGAGGTGACATTTACTCACGGGGGTAATTAGACTTAAGTCTGGGAGATG